TTCTTGTTGGGCTGCACCTTGTGCGAAAATTTTTTCTTTGGTTTACCATAGTGTACCTGAATGTAGAAATTATGAATAGTCTGTTAGCGTGCTTTTTATCATGATATACCATATGGTACCATAATGGTTTCCTACCATACCAAATCAAACCATATATTTATCTCATTTTACCATATGGTAATTACATCAAACCATGTCTTATAACATATTACCATATGGTAACGAAGTAAAACATAACAGGATGTATGTTTTCCTCCATTTTTACAACATGAAACCATAGTTTACCAAACATTACCATGTGGTAACGAAGCAAAAGACAGCAGGACTTATGGTTTTTTGCTATTTTACAACATGAAACCATAGTTTACCACACATTACCATGTGGTAACGAAGCAAAACACAGCAGGACTTATGGTTTTTTGCTATTTTACAACATGAAACCATAGTTTACCACACATTACCATATGGTAACGAAGTAAAACACAGCAGGACTTATGGTTTTTTGCTATTTTATAACATGAAACCATAGTTTACCACACATTACCATATGGTAACGAAGCAAAACACAGCAGGACTTATGGTTTTTTGCTATTTTACAACATGAAACCATAGTTTACCACACATTACCATATGGTAACGAAGCAAAACACAGCAGGACTTATGGTTTTTTGCTATTTTACAACATGAAACCATAGTTTACCACACATTACCATGTGGTAACGAAGCAAAACACAGCAGGACTTATGGTTTTTTGCTATTTTACAACATGAAAGCATAGTTTACCACACATTACCATATGGTAACAAACTAAAACACAGCAGGACTTATGGTCTTTTGCTATTTTACAACATGCAATCATAACTTACCACACATTACCATATGGTAACGAACAAAACACAGCAGGACTTATGGTTTTTTGTTATTTTAGAACATGCAATCTTAATTTACCAGTCATTACCATATGGTAATGAAGCAAAACACAACAGATTCTACATCAGTTCAGCAACTCATGGAGAGTGACTGCGATACTGTTCTATTGTTCTCTAGATGGATTTCGAAGAAAGAAGTGAGGTTTTACCTTGATATTTTGTGCGAAAACGATTTTTGAGCCTCGTTGAAGTTTGAAACTCTTCGTTTTTCGACGAAGAAGCGAGAACAGTGTATCGTTGAATGATTCTTCGAAATCCTTTGCGAAAATCGTTCGATTTGAAGTTTTTCTGGAAGTTTTTGCTGCGATTTTGGTGAGAGAATTGAGAATCGGGAGGAAGAATGGAGAGTTAGAGAGCAGAGAGGGAAGTGGAACTGTCGCTTGAAAGGTGAGAGGAAGAAGGAGAGAAGGCGGGACGGTTGTCGCTGTCACGTCTGTAATTCAAATTGTCAGAGACGTGATTACGTTTTTGCCCCCGCGTGTATTTTAACTGGCATGATCTGACGGCTGGGAAGATGGCGCGATGGACGGCCGGATCATCGGTTACTGACCGTTACTGATAGGTCGGTTACTGATAGGATCCGGACCCCAACCGCCTTAATCAGCGAAGACCGTACCCATGTCGGAATATTGCAAGCCGTCCGATAAATGAAACGTTAAATCGTAGCCTTCGATTTTATTATTTAGGCAAAATTCATCTGTGTAGCCAAAACTTTAACGTTTGTGACAATAATAGTCATTTTTTGGGAAATACCAATAATAGCCAAAATTTTGAACATTTGATGACAAATATAGCCATTTCCGTTACATAGTTTGACGGCGTCAGTAACACCGTTAGTCAAATTAACAGAATGCTGATGTAGCTGCCAACTCACCCTCTCTTTCATTTCCACCTAAATCTTCAATAACATGTGGATGCCACATCATATTAAAATTTTAATTTTGTAATTATTATTTACAAAATTTATTCTCATTTTCTTTTCCCTGACTTCATCTTCCCCGATTGAATTTGTTCCTCTTTTCCTTCTTCACTGAACTTACTCCCCACGACACTCACTCGAACCACCGATAATCGCCGATTCCACATCACCCAACTGCATCAATTTATGAGGAAGGCCGATGGATAAGATATGTAGACGAAATTCTTCCAGCCCCAAATTTCCAAATCCCTAGAAAAATCTCATGGGTGGCTCTACAATTCTGTGGAAGAAATCGAGCCACTAGGATTCGAACTCCTCGGTAAGTATTCAAATCGCGGATCTGGGGGATTGGCCCTCTGTTGCGAAGTGTATCGAATGGCTCGAATACAAAATCTGGGTTCGGTTTTGTACATCTCGTTCGGATCCCAGAACAGCATCAACCGATCCGGCCGTCAATCCGATTTCCTACCCGAATGGCTGCCTGACGGGTTCGTGCGGCGGATAGAGGAAACTAAGAGACGTCTGCTGGTACGTAACTGGGCACCGCAGCTCTTTTCCACGATTCGATCGACGGGTTTCTGAGCCACTGCAGGTGGAACTCTATTCTCGAGAGCTTGGGGAAGAAGAGCGGTGGAGAGACTCCCCATGGTTTCGATTTTGCGAAAATAGATCTGAGGATGTTTGGGAGAGAATGGAAGTGGAGGAAGCTTAAGGATGTTTATTATTCTGGTAAGGATTCGTTTTTGGGAAGGATTACAATATTAAATTTTGTAAAAGAAGGATCCGTTTTAGGAGAAGGAGGTGGAAGAAGGGGAAGGATTTGTTGTTGGGAGAGAGTTGGGTAAACTGTAAACAGGTGGAAGAATTGGGTGAATGTGAACAGGCGGTGGTGGTTAGAGGATAAAACTTAAGGTTTTTTGTTGTTGTTGTTTTTATGTTTTTTTATGTTTTTATGTTTTTTTTATTGTTTATATTTTTATGAGGAGTGATTATTGTTTTTATTATTTGTTATTTAATTTGACTAAATAAAGAATAAAATTTTGATTATTTTCCACCTAATATTATTATTGAATAAAATATTCCACGTCATCTGCTGCTGTGAGTCTAGTCAACACGTTAACTAACACCGTCAAACAATTGGACGGAAGTGGCTATTTTTGGTATTTCGGCAAACGTGGCTATATTTGGCCAAACCGTCAAAGTTTTGGCTATACAAGTGTATTTTGCCTATTATTTATCACTGAACCAAGATTGGTTCAACCTCCTGGTTGACCCTTTTCCGGTGGCGAAAAGGTGGTATTCGACGTTAGGGATGGCAACAAAAGCAGAACCCATGAGTACCCTACACCCGACCCAACCCGGTCAATGTGGGGAAAATCCGTGTTGACGGATTTTGGGTCGGGTTCGGGTTTAAACCCATTCACCATTCACCGGGTTGGGTTTGATTTTAGGTAAACCCGTCCCATGGGTACCCGTCCACACTAATATAATTAATTTTCCCGGTATATTTAATATTCTAAACAACTAATCTTCTTTATGTTTGTGGAGACATGTTTATTTTTTTTCTTTCTAACTGTATAGAATGAAGTTGATATTATCGAGTGGAGAGTGATGAAATTTAATTTACAAAGAGGAGGAAGTTTTCAATTAATCATGTTGTTTATGGATATTTTGTAATTTGCTTCAATTTTCATGAGTATTCTAGATTGGTGTTGAACAATTTGTATGTTTAGTTTGTGATTTGCTTCAATTTTATAGAATGATGTTTTATATATGGATAATTTGTATTGAGAGATTGATATTTGACTTTTATTTTGATAAAAACTTGTTATCGTAAAAATTTTACGACAAAAACCCATGGGTACCCATCAACCCGCGGATACCCAGCAGGTTGGGTTTGAGTTTTTCAAACCCAGTGGGTTTTACTTCGAGTTTTTATCACGGATAAACCCATAGGTTTGGGTTTGAGTGTGGCAAAACCCGACACATTGACGTCCCTAGTATTTGTAGCCAATTGAGTAGTATTATTATTAGTTTACGTATTAATTAATTATTGAGATATTTGATTATTTTGGATATTTATATTGTTTTTTTTTTTTCATAGGATATTCATATTGGTTTAGGTTTAGAATTAGTATTACTAATTGTGTCTTGTTTAGCAAGTTATTCTTTGTCTTATTGTTTTGGGATTGATTTACCTTATTTGTGGAGGAAATGATGTGGGATTAGTTATATGAATATGTACTTTGCCTCTACTTTTTTTATGATGAAATGAGAAGTTAAATAATTTAATAGAAATTAGATGTAGTCTTATCACATTTCCTTAGTTTTCATAGAAGAGTTTGAGATTCTCAACGCATAAAATCCTATCACGCGCTAGACATCTTTGTCGTCGACAGAAGGTTCACCATCGATGGAATAGGGCTGGGAAACGGTGCGGTCTGGTCCAGACCAGACCATATATACGGTCTATGGTCTAGACCGAGAGGCTGAAGTATAGATCAAAGACGAGACCACAGACTATACGGTCCGGTCCAAACCACGCCTGTGCGGTCTAGTTCGGTCTGGTCTGGTCTAGATAGACCACACTCAACGAAAAATGAACAATTTGTTTAGTCAACCACACAAAAAATTGATCCAATAATCGAGAAAAATAATTGTTATTTACCTTAAAACATTAATCCTAACATGCATGAATAATTTTGATACCCTAAATCTTAGTACATAACAAAGATATAAAGTAAAAGCATCCAAACTTGCACCATAACGTTATAAACATTAACATAATGTCATATGGAGACACAATTATCTATACTCTCTGGTTAAATGTGGTCGTGAATGAAGGAGAGACGAGATTCACAAAATTAAGGTTGAGACTTGGGTGTCGTTGTGGGAGTTGGGAGAGTGGTCGAATGGACTGTTAACACGTATTGACAAGTCAGTTGGGTCCACGGTTGGGTCCGGTAAACCGCGGTCTAGACCAGACCAAAAGATCAAAACATAAAATAATACAGACCATCGACCAGACCATACCATACTTAACGGTCTACAGTCCGGACTAAACTGCGCGGTACGGTTTGGACCACGATTTTTCTAACGGTCTGGTCTATTTTTCCAGCCTTAGATGGAAGTGATATTGATGTCTCACAAGTTTCTATGTTATGGTACAACTTCAAGTTGTACATTGAAGCACCAATATTTTATAGTATAGTAAAAGGGCTCTCTTAAAGACTAAGGTGGATTTAAGCAACTTGTTAAACTTTTTTTTCCCCTTAATCACCTCATCCAAGGCTAAAAGTGCATATATTGTTCAAATACACCTATTAATCACAGCGCGTCACTCACTCACTCTCTTACGTTAACATTCATCAAGCCGCCGAGTGACCAAAACCAGAAGCTCGCTGCAATGGTCTCTTCAGGTTACAATGCAGAAGGATGGATGCCGGCAATTTCTCTGTATAAACTATAACGTTCTGTCTTCAGCGGCCTCCCCTGTGATTGCATACATCACTGGTCGATCGACGTATCCTTGAAAAGCAACATCATGTATAGCGAGCCGTTTACTGCAGCAATCACCATAACCATCCGAGTCGCTCGCACTACTCTCTGAACAGCGATCTTCGTTTTCGACCTGCTGTTTCTCGCTGATGATTTCGAGTCTACCTCCGGTGGAAACTCCGCCTCGGGAGGAGGTGTGGTGGTCTTTGCTGCTGGCCGCATAACAGCATTCCCTCTCTCCATCACAGCGTAATCATCAGCTGGAACCGAAGTGGGGATGAGGATTGCTTTCTTGACGAGATGCATTGATCCTTCTGCATCCCACACCATCTCGTACTCGCAGTTCTCGTCGTCGGTCTTCTCCTTCGGCCCTCCTTTGAACAAGATACTGTATGGTCTAAGACAAGCCGCTATGAAGTTCAAGTATTTTTCGAAGTTCACGCCCTTCATTGGCCAGAGGAGGAGAGCGAGAATAGTCAAGTTGAAGAGCACTATGTACCTGGCAGTTTTTAAAGCAGGTAAGATTCAGCTGAAAGAGCAAACTGCAAGGAGTGGATTTGTTCAAAACAATAAGGCCTTGTTGCTAAGCAGTTTACCATATGTAGATGTGAGTTTGAATAGGAAGGAAGCATAGATGAGCCTTTACTGCTTCTTCGGTGATGGAGAAGCTCGGACCAGTGGAGTTATCCGCGACAGACAGTAGCATGAACGAAGGGTACAAGTTCCCCTGCTGCCAGCTTATGGTGCCTACAGTGTGCTGCATATTATTATTGTTACATAAAACGTCACATCTCAGAAAAGCTGCATTTGACAAAATAAAAGCGTGTTACCTCTCTAACTGGACCAGATTTTGAGTCATGGAGCACTGTGCACTGATCATGATCATGGCCTGACAAAACAAGTACCTATAACCAAACAATTAGTGGTATGTACCTCTAAGAAACATACAAGGCATCCAAAATTTCAAGATCATATGCCAATGACGTACAGGTTTGATCAAGTCTAGCAATTTATTTGAGGATTCCTCAGTCACATAATTCTGGTACCTGCATGTATATCAAGTTGAGCAGATCAGCACCTAAAATAGTTATGGTACTCATTTCACTAAAGAGGAATATTACCATATCTCTCGATCACGAGTGCGAACAAACCGCTGAGTACAGAAGAGAGGAGTTCAAGTAAGTAGCAGTCGCAAGAGAACTGATATAAACACCCAAGAGAAGATTGGGAAGCAGGGTGAATAACAATCAAAAAGTGATTTGCAAAAATTGCCATTACCAACCTGATTAATGATTGGAGATTTCCGATGAGGGCCACAATATGTATTGTCGGGACGGTACAATGGAATATGGGTCAACAAAATCTTTGGCATTAAGTCATTGCCTGCACACATAAACAAACATTGATGTCCATGTCCATCATGAAAACTAAAGAGGAAAAAAGGCCTAAACAAAGAAGCGCAGATATCTACCCTCTGAGACGTTCTTCACGAATTTCCAGGCCGAGGAAGTTATGTCTGAAATGGCATTCCCTGGACATGACAAAAAGCACAACATACTCTGTTTTGAGAAACCAGATACCATTGCAATGCAATCATGTGCTATTTAAAGTGCAGGCATTTAACAATATAATAGTACTCTTAACTTCAGATATAATTCATATTCATTGAGTGCAGTCCATCAAGTAAGCCACAAAGAAGATGGCATAACGACAACTGAAACAATTTGTGAAAAAACTTCGAACTTCTCGGCAGTGATATTGCGAGAAAACAATAACCCATGGAAACGACTGCGATGATTGATTTGAACTTGGGTTCTATTGGAGCTGCCAAGCTTGGAGACATGGTGAAACCAATGCAGATTGTTAAAGTTTTCGGGTTTACGGAACAAGTGGGAAAGATGACCCTTTTAACAAGGGAAACAGATATGACATTATATTGCAGAAAAACAACGGTGTGATAAGTGCAAACACATCATTTAACATGGGTTATTGTCGGAGGAAGAGCTGTAAAACTAATTCTTGCTTTTTATTTTAATTAGTAAGAGCTGCAATGTAACTGGTCTGCGTACCATCTAAAGTTTGAGCGTCAACAGCAATGAACTCCACTTTTCCAATCGCAAACCAGAAGTTTCTACTTCCAAATTCTTTCTCATAGCGCCTAACAACCTGTATGAATTAAGAAAGTGATTGAAAACAAGTTGATCTAGATTGAAATCATGAAATCTCTGACACAATGAGAGATTCATAGTAAAATTTACAAATAGACAAAGCTTTCAAAGAAGTAGGGACTATATTAACAAAAAAAGGACTAAATCCGGAAACTTTTCCCACTTATATTCTCAAATTCAACTATGGTTAGTTAGACCTACTGATGCTGAAGCTGATAGTCACTGCTCCATCAAGGTGCAAGCCCTATGAACTTCAAGCCTGATATTGATGGGCGCTGAGTTTGCTGTGAATTTATTTGGTTTTCTCTATATCCCCTATTTGATGTTTTGATAGTTTCCTTGTGTAAGTTAAAGTCTTGTAGGAAAATTAGTAATTAGTGACTAATTACTATTTGAACATGATCAGTTTATCCTTGCAAATTAAGGTTGTGCGGTGCCCCCTATCTAAGAAGGTTAATTGTTACGGATTTTGACAGATTGAATATCCTAATTGATCGAGCAAAGTACTACCTTCCTACTTCTTTTTTTCTACTCTTTTTTTCTGGAATATCCATCACTGTCCAAAAGCAGAGCACTATCTTCCTACTTCTCTACAGAGGTAGAACCCTAGGAACATCAGATAGGCTCCGGTCAGAAAAGCAAAATCCTTTATAGCCAAAGAAGCAGATTCCTCAAAATTAGAAGTTTTAACCAGCTTAGACTACATCATTTTGCTAAGCAATGAGATTGATGCAGCTGAATTCGGAATGTTCGCAAAATCTCTAAAGAGAGTCCAATCAATTAGTATGCACCTCCACTTTGGATCTTTCAAATAAAGGATTCCAAGTTTTACTCATCAATCAGGCTTCCAAGGATCAAAAAGTGATACTGAGCTTACTGTGCAGCTACCACATTAACCAATAAGATGCAAACGGTTGCCTTAACATTTCATCAATAAATTCTGATAAGCCGATTTGGAACAGAAGCAAGCAACTAGAACAACAAAACATATATTGTTCTTTGCAAAAGAAGCACACCTCTGAATTATGGGAATTGATGCTTGAATAGCCAATATCATGGTTCCCAGGGATGAAGAAAACCGGGACGTTCCTGTCTCTTGTCTTGGCATCCAAATCGAAGACGTGCTTCAAGCGATGCATAGAATCCTGCCACCTTATCAGGGAAAAACAGAATGCCAATGACATTTTGTACTAGTAGAAAATACAAAGACACACAACTAATCCACAAACATGCCAAAAAGGAGAAAAATCCAGAATGCTTACTCGGCATCAGACAATTCAGGACCACCATCAAAATAATCACCCAGAAACAGAATGACATGGGGTTTCATTGGCAAGACGGAAGCGAAAAAGGCCCTCCTCATGTATATATCAGTATAGAATTGAGCAACCCCCAACAGTGACTTTGGTAGCGTTGGGTGCGATGTTCTATCCATCAACTGTTTAACCAAAATGCAAAGCAGCAGGTTTAAGCATTACAGTGAGGAAACAAACAGTCCTCAAAATGAAGCATCCGTTACCAATTTACATATCTAGAACTATCGTTGCAAGCTTCCATTCCAAGTTCTAACATTGCCCAAAATACAGGTACCATATCGGTAAAGAATGAAACTTGGCCACTACCCGAAAGAAAATGGAAACTCGAAAACACAGAGGGGCGGTGAGAGCGAGGAAAGGGGAAAGAAGAACGGAACCTGCGGATCGGTTAGCACGGCAATCCTCACATAATCATCATTGGCAGAAACTTTCCTGCCGATCTGAAAACGCAGAGGACCCAGTTGGCGTTTCATTAGATGGGAACATCAAACGCAAACGGAAGAACAAATCAGCAACCAAAAATGGATTGGATTAGATTAGATGATAGATCAATACTGGAGAAGGGGAGCGGTCTGGCCAGGAACAAGAGAAGAGAGAAGGCATCCAGAAGGCAAGCATTTCGCCGTAGAGAATGGTGGCCATCCAAACCAGGCACAGCACCGCCGTCAGCTTGTGGTACTGCTTCATCTTTCTCTCCGGTGACCGGCCGGAGCTCCTGAGAGAGTAATTTGCAGGTGGGATTCTGTTATGGAGAGCGGGCGGTGGTGTTGGGTAATGAAAATCGGTCGGGGTCGAGCAAAGCTCCGCACGCAGTTCATGAGTTTGACTTGATAAGGACTTGCGACTTGGGGGAAAGGATGGACGTTTCAACAGGATGGAAAATTTTCATTTGACATCATTTAAATTGTATTGTGTTACAATTTGACGCTTTAATTTTGATGTTTTGCCTTTAATTTTTTGACTCGGTTCATTTTACGAATGCAAACTATTTCAAAATAGAGTGAGTTTCAGACAATATTTCCCGTGTTTTTTACTGTGAGTTCCGACAGCAAAATTTTTACTTTCTAAAAGAATTTAAGTTTTACTATAAACATACTGTTATACATTTTCTCAACTTGCGGTAAAAGTTATTGTTCAACCTTAAACCTACAAAATAGTTAAATTTAAAGCTCGTATTTTTTTTAATTACTTTATACCTATGTCCTTTAAAGAATTTTGGGTTATAGGTATAATTTGCCCTTCTATTATGCATTTTTCTCAAACACGCCCCTCTACTATAAATCACGTCAAACATGCCCCTCTACTAATGAACAATTCTCAAACGTATCCTTCCGTTAAATTTTCCATCCCAAAACCGTTATATCTGATTGAACAACGATCCCATCAGTGTTGATGACATTTTAACCCTGTAAACGTTGAACAGAAATTAAAGCACTAAAAAAAAATCCAAAGGCCCTCCACCTCATCCCTCATCGATGTCTCCAGCCCTCTCAACCCTTCTCCTCTTCCTCTAGGTGAACGACGATGATGGCGATAGCATTGGCGGTGTGTTCGCCGCAGTAGCAAACAAAATCAGTGGTGGAGGATCTATCTCTCCACGGTTGGGGCTTTGAATTGCTGTAAACGGCAATGCGGTCTGCGGGTATTTCAACGGCGCCACTGCTCTTCATCTCTATCAATAAATTATCGAGATCTGAAAACTAAACCAAGTTCTTGGCGACCTTCACGCCAAACATTGTTCCTCATCACCATATTCCTCTTTGTTGGCTTTTCCTTTTGAGTGGACCTTAGATGTAATGCCCTAAAGACAAAAAATTTCCCAAATTGAATCCATTTCTGCTCAATATATGTACGGGCTTTTACTGTTCCAATTCAAAATAACCAAAAACAAAACTTTTTGTTGGTTCTGTGTGCTTAATTACAGGCTGATAGGGAATTTAGGAATGCTGCAGCTTCGTCGCCATAGCACAACTGCACTAGATTTGTGAATGTAATTTAGGGTTAACATGTAGATGTAGTATTGTGATCCGAATTTCAATGATAAAAATAATTTGGAATAACAGGTAGTAGCCGCCGTCAATACAGTGAGGCGTATCCACATCGGAATCAGTCGGCCGAGGGCAGTCAAAGTCGGAGGGAATCGAAGTCGGGGTGGCCGGAAGGATTTTTGTTCGATGGGGTAGATCGGCGGAGGAAGGATGACAATTGACAAGGGTTAAAACAAAAGAAGGGTAAAAGAGACCTTTCATCCTCACTTTTGCTGATGTCATGTTGGGCGGACAATGGTTCAGCCAAGATTTAACGGTTTTGGATGAAAAATTTAATGGAGGGATACATTTAAGAATTGTTCATTAATAGAGGGGTATGTTTGACGTGATTTATAGTAGAGGGGCATGTTTGAGAAAAATGCATAATAGAGGGGCAAATTATACCTATAACCCAAGAATTTTTTATACACATTGACTTTTATATCTAAAAAGAAGGATAAAATAATTTTTTATTCAACAAATTAGAAGACAATTTGGATAAAGATGGCTAAATTACACGTTTGGTCACTCAAATTATATAAATCTTTCACATTTACCACCCGAATTACTTTTCTTTCTTATTCGCCACTAACTTTACAAATCGTTTCGCCGTTAGTCACCGACTGTTAGTCTCCGTTAACTCCGTCAAATTTTTGATGACGTGGCAAACGAAACTGCTGACTGAACAGTTAACTTAATGACATGTCATTTAAAAAAAACGGAAAATTATAAAAATAATAAACTAACACTATTGCTCTTGCTGAGCTGTCACAACTGTTTCTCCAGCTCGAGTCGGGTCTCAACTCTCGTCGCCAGATTACGATCCGGCTCCCTGCTCTGCTGAACCATCATCTTCACCTGCCCACCGCCGCCGCCCACCGGATGCGAGGTATTTCCTCTTCGTTGGGGACCGGTCAGATCGTCGAGTCGCTGAGAAGCTACACATAGTTCATACATCCTCACCTTTTCCCCTCGAATGACAGCTCCACCCACGCCTTGAATCACTATGTACTTTGAGCCTCCAAGGTACAACCCAGTGGATGCAAGAGTACAAGTCTCATCGAATCTTTGCTGATGCCACTAATTTCTTTAGCCTTGAATTGAAATAAAACACCACATACAGATAAGCAAAAAACTTTGATCCAATAGCACCACAAGTAGCAGAGCTTTCCTCTGGTCAACGAATAGAATCCCTAATTTGTTCATCTTCACTTTCAACTCTGCATCACAGAAACTATTAATCCTCCATCACAGGGGGAAAAACCCCAAATCAAATCTCACTACAGCCAGCCAATCGATCCCCTAGGCCCAAACCAAGGGAGATTATATTAGATTAGATCCTCAAACTGAATACCTAGATCGTAAAAAGAAGCTCAAAATATATGAATTTGAATTGAAGCCAATTCCAACGAAGCACAATTCAAGCAGGATCCACAGCTTTCTCAATCACATCCAATCCATCAACCGCCCAAACCCCACACAAGCCCTCGACAAACAAATCATAAGAACAACAGTTTAACCCCAAATCCAAACGAATCAAACTTGTGGGAATCACGAGGGAAGCAAAGAGAAAGAAGAAGCAAACAATTTGAGGGAAGCGCTCTGGGTTCAAATGTTGCCGTCAATGCCGATGATGCTCTGCTACAGGATTAGGGGTTTTGGAGGAGGGGACGAAAGCTGTGGAAGAAGAAGAGTTCGAGAAACGAAAAGAGACGGTGGGGTGGGACCCCTGAAATTATTTTTTATTTTTTAATATTTTAAATGACATGTCATTAAATTAGTGGTCCTGTCAGCATTCTGTTTGCCATGTCATAAGAAATCTGACGGAGTTAACGGAGTTTAACGGAGACTGACGGCCAGTGACTAACGGTGAAACGATTCGTAAAGTTAGTGGCTAATAAGAAAGAAAAGTAATTTGGGTGGCAAACGTGAAAAATTTATGTAATTTGAGTGACCAAACGTGTAATTTAGCCGGATAAAGATAGATGAATTAGTTACAAATTGTTGGCCTTTGAACTCGTTAGATGGTTTGGAAAAACTTAAAATAACCAAGTTGTGCCATTAATCATTACTCATTAGGGTTAATATGATAATTTGTTGAGACATATCCCTTTGTTATATTTCACATAAAAAATATAATATTTTGTGATTTCTTCCCCAATTTTCCTTTTTTTTAAAATTTCATCAAAAAGCCTTTAGTTATGGTCCAATCATTGACCAACTTGTAGACTACCCATTTTATTTGGAACAAACACTAGGTTAAAGCATACAACTTGGGTGTGCCATATGTACCAAATGGTCGGCTCGACGCTGATATTTTCTCTACTCAACTTATTTTGTTGACACAATTGTGTTGTGTGAATGATGTGGTATCCTCTCAATTGGATTAATATGCGTAATTGAATGTGTTCATAAATCATAGAAGAATCTTAATTGGCCTTCCACCCAAAAATCCACCTCTCCAAGTCTAATGTAAGAATGATAATTGAATGCAAAGCTTTCATAGCTCAGTTGGTTAGAGCACCCGTTTAGTAAGCGGGAGGTCTTGAGTTCAACTCTCAATGAAAGCACATTTATTTATATCTAATGACACCTATTTAATTCTTTTTCATATATAAACGGGCCGTCAAAATCGTATATTATTTATCATGGGTCCAAACCCTCAAAGTAGGTCTATTTCGATAGGATCCATTTGGATTACAATTAGTTAACTTGTTGAAAGTCAAACCCAATATTTTATACATTTTCTCAACTTGCGGTAAAAGTTATTGTTCAACCTGAAATCGATCGGGGTGCCCGAACTGGAATGGTATTTCAAAACGAGGAAATTCGAAAGTAATAATAATGAGAACAAGAAAACAATTGTTAAAGGAGGAGGGTGGGATACAGTACGGAGGAGCATATACAAGAAGGTGGTGAGAAAGATCAAGGAGAATTCGGAAGTCATGGAGAGGGAAGCTTGAGCTGGGGAACCATGGAGGTGCAGCGGGGACTCGAATTGACAAGATAAGGGTAGGAGAAGGAACGGAGCAGCGAAGGACGAGCAAGCGAGGGAGATAAAAGTTGGGGGTGCGATTGTTGCGGCGACCGATTCAAGCACCATTCAGATCTGGTTGTCGAAGGAAATGCAAGAAAATGAAGAACTAAAGAAGACGGTTTTCAGATCTGGAAAGGAAAAAGGGACAAGCCCTTATTTTGTTCGAGTGGGCAGTTCATGGGTAGGTGGGTCGCGTTGGTTCAAGAGTTGGGTTGGGTTGGGATGGGATGGACAAGATGACATGGCGGGTAATAGTGAATGGCGGGTCAGATTTTACTATTTTTGGGTTAAATTTGACTGACTAGGCGATTTCGTCTGTCACGTCAGCACATAACGGTGTTGGTTAACGAAGACTAACGGAGAGTGACCAAACTCGATTTTACAAATTTTAGTGATCACGAATGGATTTAAATATTTCGAGTGACCAAACATGAACGTTTTTTATAATCTCAGTGACCAACCATGCAATTAACCCCTCTGTTATATTTTTTCATAAAAGAAAGCCTTTAGTTATGGTCCAATCATTGACCAACCTGTAGACGACGCAATTTATTTGGAACAAACACCAGGTTAAAGCAGACAACTTGGATGTGCGGGGGTGGTAATCGGTCGGTATATCGGCAATTGAAATTTTGCCGCCGGATACCGATACCGAAAGTTATCCGGTATACCGAATACCGGATAATCGATTACCGGTATACTGGATACCGGATAGATCGTTTTCTTCCAAGGGCGGTGCATAATTGGTCTAGATATTTTGTTGATTAAGGGCTTGTATAAAGCCTGGACGTGGATGCATTGTTGTAAGGTAAGAAAGAATAAAAAGAAAGAAAACATTCCTCCCTTGTTCTTCTCTCTGCCTGTCGCAAGCTCTCCGTACTCCCTCCAATTTCATTTCCAAAACCAATTGTCCAATTATCATCCAATTATACAACCCACGAATTAAACAAACAACACCAAATGCCTAAATCAAATCCCAAAATCAACAATTTTATATATGTTATTCGGTATTCCGGTATACTAGATTGCCGTCGGTATATTACCGGGTATTATCCGATATACCGTTATGCCAAATCACGCCATCGAATACCGATACCGCTAGTATCCGGTACGGTATCCGGTAATACCAAATACCGGTTTACCGATCCTAGATGTGCCATATGTACCAAATGGTCAGCTCGACGCCAATATTTTCTCTACTCAACTTATTTCGTGACACAATTGTGTTATGTGAATGATGTGTTATCCTCTCAATTGGATTGATATGTGTAATTGAATGTGTTCATAAATCATAGAAGAATCTTAATTGGCCTTCCACCCAAAATTCCACCTCTCCAAGTTTAATGTAAGAATGATAATTGAATGTGAAGCTTTCATAGCTCAGTTGGTTAGAGCACCCGTTTAGTAAGCGGGAGGTCTTGAGTTCAACTCTCAATGAAAGCATGCTTATTTATTTCTAATAACACCTATTTAATCCTTTTTCATATATAAACAACCCTCAAAATCGTTTATTATTTATCATGGGTTCAAACCCTAATTTCTAATAACACCTATTTAATCATTTTTCATATATAAGCAATCCTCAAAATCGTTTATTATTTAACATGGGTTCAAACCCTCAAAATCGCAACTCTCAATGAAAGCATGTTTATTTATATCTAATGACACATATTTAATCTTTTTTCATATATAAACGACCCTCAAAATCGTTTATTATTTATCATGGGTTCAAACCCTCAAAATCGTTTATTTAGTTATCATGGGTTCAATTGACGACGTAGGTCAATTTGGATAGGATTGATTTGGATGACAAAGAGTTAACTTGTTGAAAGTCAAACCCAATATTTGTCATGGGTTCAAACCCTCAAAATCGTTTATTAGTTATCATGGGTTCAAATTGAGACATAGGTCTATTTGGGTATGATCCATTTGGATGACAATGAGTTAACTTGTTGAAAGTCAAACCCAACATATTATTCAAATGTTATATATTTATGAGTTTGGATTGAGTAAAGGTCGAGTTTGATTTGGGACGGGTCTCTTTGGTCGGATCTACTTAGATTTTTTTTCGAATCCACTATATCATAGTTGTACATCCTTACCTATCATCAATATATACCTTAGAATGACATAATTTACCTACATTTTTTCACTCACAAAAAGAAAAAGAAAAAAACAACAACATGTACTGAAGGTGGGTGGTCTATGGGAGAACGGTGTAACAAAAAGACCAAACAGAGTAACAATAAAACCAACTGTTGAATGAGAGAATGAGTATCAAAAGCTGGCCCTGCGGAGGGAAGAAAGAAGGGATTGGACACAGAAAGAAGACCCTAAGCAACCAGCCACGAGGACTAGGCATGTGTATTAGGCAGATTTGGACTATCTCGACAGTAGGGGACGACTTTGTGTCGATCGGCCCGGCACAAATAGAATACTATTCCGTTAACTAGTCAGGTAAGTGCTTCAGTACAGTTTGGCGGTTTTGTATAGAAAGCCCACTTAGTTCACCAAATTTCTCATGCATTCATTACCCTTTACCCATCTTCCTGCGCAGCAAAGAAATAATGAGCTTTCAACCGAGAAAAATCCTCTTTCACTTGCACCGCTTGCCATCATTATTTTTACCGAACTCAGAGCAAGGTGGTTAACTATATCACCTTCTTTCTGAGCACCCAAATGAACTCTGTGTGTTCTGGTTAGGGGTGAACAAACACACCCGCAAACCGACCCACCCGTCCAACCCGACCCAACTCACCCGTATTTATCGCTAAAACGAAGGTTTTGGGTTGGGTGACGGTTTTCTTTTGTACAACCCGCCTCTTTTGGGTTGGGTTTGGATTTTGGATTACACAACCCGTAGAACCCGACCCAACCCGTGTTCCAACTATTAGTATGAGTCCGTATCTAAAAAATATTTATGTCGTATATAGTCATACTAATGTGAAAATTAAGATATTTCGCCATGTTTTTCTATCATGGTCTCCCTAATCTAATGCATTCTTCGACTTAAAGCTTAGACATAAATTGAATATAATTATGATTCACATAATCATTTTTTTTGTATACAATTTCAATAGAATAACATATTATGGATGCATTTGTTTATAACCCTTTTAGCCTATTTCAACAAATATCGTGAAAAAAAACTAGACATATGTTGAAGTAAATTACATTTTATTAAAACTCAAACAACATTTGTGAATTTTGATACCTTTCACCTCGGTTTATTTGTTTGAAATTTTAATTAGTTATAAAATATTTTTATGGTGTATAATAATTATATATTTTATGTTGGGTTGGGTTTTTACTTAAAAATATCGTCAACCCGACCCAACCCAATTAGAAACAAACCGTAGGGTTTAAAATTTTTTGGGTGGGTTTGGGTTTGATAATTCCCAAACCGTAGTGCATGAATCGGGTGATTAAAATACTTAAACCCGAACCAACCGACCCATGTACACCTGGTCATCCGACGTAAACAGAGATGTCCGCTAAAGAAAAAGAAAAAGCAGAATTTGACTACTTTCTCATGCCCAAAGAATGAAAGCACCAACCGTGCGCATAGTACGAAGCTGCTGCTATACCAGAAAGGAAAACCAAACCACATGGAGGCCAAGGGATATTCGCAACCCGCAAACTGTGACACACCGCAGGCATGACATTTGCCAGCAACACTAAAAAGAAGATAACAAAGCTACACGGCTTTCATTGCCAGTTCACAGTTTCAGAACCACAAGGCCAAGTGCAAAATCAGATTCAACCTTACATCTCTTTCACATGCAAAGGAACAGAGAAGCGAGTGGGCAGGCATTACTTCAGCTAACAGCTTTTTACACATCTAAAACAAATTTAGTTTCGTTGACAACCCACACCACAGAACCCCAAAGCAAGCAGCGCGACATAGGGAAGAAGTAAAAAAGACACAACCCAGATTGCTGCATCAATCGCCAAGTGAAATGTAACTTATAAGCAATAAAAGAGATTCAGCCACATGAAAGATTAGCAGATTCAGGGATGACCTATGCTCACATATCAAAATCTAAGTATTTGTAGATTCCCGGATCAGACATTCAACCATGCTGAAGCAGAAGCCACAACATCACTCCCCTCTTTCTTGCATGCTTTAACTTAGTACAACAAACTTATCTTTCTGAAACACAACAAACTATGTTAACGTCAACCCAGTTTTCCTCTGCTGTTTTCTTGGACTGCAACACGATAACGAGTAGCCAACATGCGGTATCTACATCATTTTGGGGCACCTAGATAAGACTTTCTTCCAGTAAAAATTACCACTCAATCTGTGCAGATGACATGAGATGAGGAATGAAGTTATGCTAGGTGGTCAGAAACTGTAATGACAGGGGTGTGTGGGGCGAGAGAGTTATTCCCAACACAGACAGAAAAATAAATGAAATACCAATTGACTTCTAGACATGTATCATGTATGCAATGCATGCATGCATGCATGCATAATAATTAAAGCAATCATTTAGGCACCAATGGCAATGATGCATAGATACATCGACCCCATAAACGTGCCCACATTAACAAAATAATAAGGGAGAAGCTACCTTGTAACTATCCCCACGGAATAATGGGACTTGGTTGTCATATGACCATCGACAAAGCTCCATAAATACAGAGCTTGCACAAAGTTGCCATAAACCAATTAGAGAACGCAAAACATTAGTAAAAGAAAATAAGTACAGATGTATGCCCTAAGCTGTGCTGCCTTCTGCAGCGCTGGATAAAAGGGGAGTCTATAGACTATAGCACAGACTATATAAGCTTACAGAAGGCCGCGTTATATATATACCAGATATATAAACAAAAAAACAAGTCATTGAAGTGGATAGAAACAGAAAAGGCAACTGGAAGGGATATTAAGAACAAGCCACAGTCCACAACCATGAGCATAAGTGGATAACAAATTATAATATATGTCCCACAGAGCACAAAACAAACTCAGAACTAGATTTGTCAAAATCATCTTTTATGTATTGTTTCTATACCATCTTCTCTATTCACATTACCATACTTGAATCCTCTACAGTAGTAAGCATACGCACCATACACGACAAGAACCGAACCTTGCAGAACTAGCTCAAATTCCTGGGGTGCCAAAAGGGAAACAGAAACCACTTATGTCCGCAATATCTAGGTTCTACGAAATTGGAGAGACTAAAACTAGAAACAAAGGACATGCGTGACAAAAGAAAGGAGACAGTTTAGACGCAACATACACAAATTCGAGATCACCCATCTACTCTCTGCTTGCTTAGGACCTCATGCTACAGGAGCGAGCCAACCTTAGAGTCAGGCTACCCCCATGTACACATGGCTCAGCCTCTACTTTGTTATGCTCCTGCTGGTAAGGCTTCCTACAGCTAGGACAACGACCATCCTCTTCAAGAATCCTCTTGTGACAGAACAAACAAAGCCGAAACCCGCAAGTACAGGGCGAGAAACTGGAGTCTGTGGGGTCCAAATCCTCGCAACATATAGGACAGCTGGAAGGCGTGTTAAGAGATTTGGCCCAAGCGAGCCCACCTTGACCATAGGGTCTGTTCGTATGTGGAAGGCTTCTCTGTTTTGCCAAATTGGGCAAGGTCTGTGGACGGAATGCATCATCTGGCCTCCAGGCCCGAGTGTTACATGACATCGTTCTCGGAGGGGTAGCTCGCGGGCATTCTGGCCTCAAGTTGACATTGGAGCCTAAACAATGTGATTGGATTGAAGGCTCGTGCTCACGAGGTAACCCTGAACCCAAATGGGGATCATCATTTGGGCTCTTCTCCTCTTTAGCATCCTCATTTGCTGCTAAAGCATCTGCCATAGCCTCCCAATCATCCAAGCAATTATCATCTTCCTCCTCCCCTTCCTCCTCTCCATCCTCTTCCTCATCTTCAGTTATATTGCCAGAGCAAGAGCCCCCACTGCTACTTCCACTGCAACTCGAAGAAGCAGTGAAATTTGTGCCCGAATCAGTAACCCCAAGCACACTACTGTTGCTGATGGGGCTACTAGAAGGTGAATCTGTATCGAAGTCGTGATGATGATGATGGAGATGATGATGATGATGATGATGAATGGTACCATTCTCATTCTCGTTCTCCTCTTCACCCACCACTCCTCTCCTTGTCTCCAACTTCTCAAGCGGATTCCTCTTCCTCTCTTTGTTCTTGCAAGGGGAAAGAGGAGGTTGAGAAGCACGAGGAGACATCTTCTGCTCCTGGCTTCCCTTGCTCTTACCCGTTCCTAAAATCATAAACCCCCAATCCACAGCATCAGAAAACTAAATCCTCATGAAAAAGTCACTAACTTTCCCAAAAGACACAAAACCAATTCACGAATTTCTCATAGATAGACCCGAAAATCATGAATGTTAAGAGGGCGAACCTTGAGAAAGCCATTGCTCACGACGGGCATCCAGCTTGCACTGCTTCAATCTGGCGGACCTATTGGCCTAATGCCACAAAACAAATTAACGAGACAAAAAAAAAAAGAGGGAAAAAGAATCAATGACGAGGGAACACAAAGAGACGAAATTGCAGAAAAAAAAAAGAAACAAATTCGCTGGTGAGGAAACAGAGACGATGATAAATCAATTGAAACAGGATTAGAAAAAAAAGGATCGGATTGAGCACTCACCCTCTTCTTCTTCGCGAAATCCTTCGGGGCGGAAGGAATGGAGGCGTTGGGGGTGATTGAATCGGACACCATGGCTGGCTGGCTGCTGAGGAGATAATACGGAAATCTTAAAGAAGAGGATTGGGTGGATTCGATGAAGGAGGAGATACGGAAAAACCCTAATTCGTTTCTGGTTTAGGGGGCGATAAGATTTCGATGGATTTTTCTAGAGAGAGAGAGAAGACACAAAGGGGGAAAACTGGTTTTCTGTAGAGAGAGAAAGGATAACGGAAACTCTTCTCCTCCGCTCGCTCGCTCGCTCGCTCTCGCCAAATTTCTCAGCAGAAAGACTCTCCAAAAATACAAACCGACGCCTTGGCCCAGTTCTAGCTTTATCATTATATAGGGAAGCTAATTCCCAATTTGCCCCTCTTTTCGGCCACCATTTACGCGGGTGCCTTTACCCTCACAGCTTGTTCAGTTTAGTCATTTTGGCAACATCCGTTCGGATATTTTTTTGGGGGCCAAGCAATCTAAACGACACCGTGTGGTGGATTGCTTCGTACGCCACGCCAATGCCTCAAGGCGATGTCGTTTAGGTTTTTCCAGCTTTTTATCCTTTTTGTCCTTTTCATGAATTGATTGATGGTATTAACTGCAATTTAGTTTTTTAAGTTTGGTATTTATTTGTTGACCCCGGTTAATCCGATGTATTTTGGTTGCTGTAACTTTACTTTTCCTATAATTAGATAATAATAATAATAATAATAATAATGATGATAATCAATAATTCAATATCTTTTAGTAAAAAAAGGTTGAAAAAAGCTTACTAGAGGGGTTAACCTTTGGTGGCAATGTCTATGTTTATCTTCTTTTTTCTTTCTATGGGATTACTTTAATGAGATACTAGGTTGTGTGTGTGCACTGTGCTTATCAGTAAAGAGTTAGTTATAATAACTCGTTTGTGTTAGAATTCATCACATACTTTTTGTTGTAGTTTCATCTACAAACCAATCTTGTTCTTTGCTATAATGGAATGCATACATTATATGGTTCATCCATTATGCATGATTTTGTTTCCTAAGGAGGTCAATTACAGATAGCTTGTCAGGGTTCTTCAAAAGATGAATGTATATTGAAATTGCAAAATCTGAAAATTGCAGAAAGAAAGGTAAAGTTGTCTTTCTCCTCATGTTGTTTGTATTCTCCAAATAATCAGAAAAGTCAAGCCCGCTACAGCTAGGTTTCAGTAGACTTGGCAGTAAAAACGATTAAAAACAAACAACAAGCCGTTGTAATTAAGCCAATCATGGCATGCCACGTCTCCTTTGTAACTTGATTGCTTGGTGACTCGGGTTCTGATACGAGCACGTACTTTGTATCCGTAGTTATCAAAGTCGCACAACCTAAAGAACGAACTAGGAACTGGATATTTAGGGGTTTTGTTTGTTTGGGGATAGGATAGAATTGAAACTGCAATCTCAACACAAATCGGGAGAAGACTCAATCAATGTAGAAGGTAGAATCTCGATCACAATCAATGGGAAAACTTGATTGATACAGAGAAAAGCTTAACCCTAAAGCTCAAAACCAAGATAAAAGTTCAATATTCTTCAAAGTCTGCCTAAATTCGTGTTCCTAGCCCTTTATATAGTCTAGGCAAATAAAATAACCAAATACCCGAAAGGAAACAAAATTCCAAGCCAAATTCCATCGTCCCTTCTTGAAATCCACGGTCGTGGATTTTGGGCTTCTAGCCGTGGATTTCCCCTGCTCCAATTCCACGGTCCCAACCTCAATTCCACGGCCGTGGATTTTGATGCCCTGGTCGTGGGTTTTGAGCTTCTTGCTCTGGGGAATCATATCAGGCCCTCCCTGTTGAAAAAGTTTTGTCCTCAAAGCTGGTACCTTCCTGCAAGACACCACATCAACAAAATTTCAAACAGAATCCTCGTTAGCGTCGTCAACATGTGCCTTCGAGCGATAAGATGAGTTCCACCTTCGTCTTCCAACTTCGAGCGACTTGCACTTCCTTTCTCCCTGGCCCAGTTCATTGCCAGTTGTTGATGATCTTCCCAGGCTTCAGCTAGTGACAACGGATTCAGCAGAAACTTCTGATCTCCTTTCTTGAACCAGTATATGTTGTGCCTTCCATCATGAATGACTTCCCGATCGTATTGCCACGGGCGACCCAATAGAAGATGAGCAGCCTACATTGGAGCAACGTCACACCAAATCTCATTGCATAATCACTAATATGAAAACAAACCTTGGCCATCTTGTTGACTTTGATATCCCCATAGTCGTTCAGCCAATGCAGAGTGTATGGTTGAGGATGCTTGATTGTGCTCAATCCCAGCTTCTTGACTGCATCCAGACTAATCACATTAGTGCAGCTACCACCATCGATGACAAACACCTTCATGTCGACCAGGCAATGAGAGTGGAAGAGATTATCCCTATGCTCCGACTCTGTGTAAGCTTCAATGGATAAAGCTTGGAGGTTCACTTCGAGAAGTTTACCTACTGGAGATTTCTCAGCCTTGATGTGCTCATCCACATCATCTTCATAATCGGCATGAGAACGGGATCCATTCCCCATGGGCTTCTCTTCATACTCCTCCTCGAATATGTACTCTCTATCTCGCAAGACAAGAGTCTTCTTGTTGGGGTCCTGGTTAGCCTTGTGACCTCGGCCAAAGCACTTGAGGCATTGGATGCTTCCAGTTGAGCCTTCATTCCTGGTTTGAATGACTGGTGTTGTGTTCCTGGCAGCTGGCTTGTCTCCTTCTTGCTTAGGATAATTCATATTAGCCTTAGGAGTGCTCTCTACAACGGGTTTGAGTGAAGGTGGATACCTTCTTCCCGAGCTCCCCTTTAGCTCCCTCTCTACCTTCATGGACAAATGCATTGCTTCCTCCAACTCCACAAAATAACGAAGCTCCACTTCATTCTTGATTTATCTGTTAAACCCATGTAGAAAGGAAGCAATCGTTGCTTCCTTGTCTTCTCGCACATATGCTATCATCATGAGAAGTTCTAGTTCCTTGAAGTACTCATCAATAGAGCGCGCTCCTTGTCAAATTCCCTGCAAAGCATATGGAGGTCTCTTTTATATAATGGAGGCACAAAACGATCATGCATCAAGCCTCGGAGTTCTTCCCAAGTAGAAACTTCAGGCTGCAAATTCCTTCTTCGCCACTGCTGAATCTTTTCCCACCAAACTGCTGCATAATTTGTAGACTCATAGGTGGCTACAATAACTTTCTGATGCTCTAGGTAAGGATTGCAGTGGAAAAACATAATCATCTTCCTCTCCCAGTCGAGGTAAGCTGATGCACTATTAGTTCCTTGAAATGACGAGATTGAGAGCTTAATCCCTCGAATCTATTCAATGTCGTAACCCCCTGCTTCTGGTGGTCTTCCTCCATACTCATTATAATCATTCTCATACTCATTAAATGGAGGTTGTACCGTGAGATTACCTGACAACGTTGCTCTGTATATTGGCGCCTCTGCATATGTCAATCTGTGGTCTTAGGAAAGCCTAGAAAACAAGATCTGCTTGGTGATCCTCTCGTTTCGCGACTCCAGTCTCAGCTACGATATCTGCTGGGTTCTCTGGTGGAGGTAAATTACCCCGTGGTTGCTCTCCCAACTTGGTGATTAGGGTATCCAGCCGCCGATTATCCTCAACCAGCTGGCCTTTGGTAGCGTCTTGTTGGGCCTGAAGCAAAGCTCCCATCTGCGTGGTAAGCAGCTTCATGGCTTCTGCAAGATCCTAACTCTGCTCTCCCATGGCTTGTTCTTCGATTGAGCTTTCTTCTTCAGAGAGCGTTTTGTCCTCTTCTCTGCGTTCTGAAATTGGATATTTGGTCCTCGTTCTGCAAGCAACAGGTCCTCTCGCTTTTGATCCCGCCACTATGTTGAACGGGGATCTAATACCACCTGATACGAGCGCAGACCCTGTACCCGTAGTTATCAAAGTTGCACAGCCTCAAGAACGAACTAGGAATTGGATATTTAGGGGTTTTGTTTGTTTGGGGATAGGATGGAATTGAAAGTACAATCTCAACACAAATCGAGAGAAGGCTCAATCAATATAAAAGGTAGAATCTCGATCACAATCAAGGGGAAAACTTGATTGATACAAAGAAAAGTATAAGCCGAAAGCTCAAAACCAAGATAAAAGTTCAATATTCTTCAAAGTCTGCCTAAATTCGTGTTCCCAACCCTTTATATAGTCTATGGCAAATAAAATAACCAAAAACCCGAAAGGGAACAAAAAAGGGAATTTAACGCGTCATGCCAAATTCCACCGGTCCCTCCTTGAAATCCACGGTCGTGTATTTTGGGCTTCTAACCGTGGATTTCTCCTGCTCCAATTCCATGGTCCCAACTCCCAACCTCAATTCCACGGCCGTGGATTTTGATGCCCTGGTAGTGGGTTTTGAGCTGCTTGCTCTGGGGAATCATATCAGGTTCTATCCTTCCTTATTACTACATCTCACCGAAAGAAAGTCCTTCTTATGTCCCCCGGCCACAAGCTGGTGGTCGGAGAGACTGAACACCAACTTTGAGAGTATTATGGCGAAGGGTCTCAGCGTCAATGCCTTTCTGTGGGTTATCTAGTTGGTATTATGGTTTCTGAATAAGAGCTTAATGATATGAGCTTGGACCTTCTTAAGAACCAAGTGGCAATCCAACTCTTTGTGAGTTGGCGCTTCCATGAAAACTTGCATTCTTGCATGGCATATAGATTCTCACAATAGAGACACAACCCTTTTGTGATCAAATTTTAAATATTGAGGCAGATAAAGAACCCACTGCATCTGATAGCTTATGTATGTCGATGCTCAATACTCTGCTTCACATGATGAGCGAGAAGCAGTAAATGGTTTCTTTGACATCCAGGATATCATAGATTGTCCAAGGAGCACACAATAATAAATTACTTATTGTCGAGTATCAAGACACGTGCTCCAACCTGTGTCGTTATATGCCTTTGAACGAAAATCAGATGAAGAAGAGAAGAATAAACCATTTCAGGAACATCATTGGAAGTATGAGTATTAAAAAAACTCCCTTCTAATGTGTAATAGTGGGTGCATGATTGAATTAACTAACTTGGTGAGTTGCAAAGCATATTGGTCTAGTGGTTATTAAATAGATCAACCTCCCAACTAATTGCATACATTTAGTGTGATCAACATGTGCTTCTGGATCTTCAATCCTAAGGTGGAGTTTGTAATCCATGGGTCATGGGTGTCATTGGTTTGCTTCCTAGAAATCCAACATCAACAATTATCTAAAGAGCATATTTGCTCTAACAAATACAGGTTTGGTTAGCTTGACTACCCCC